TGCTGCAGACGGGGCCTCACGAGAGCAGAGCAGAGAGGGACGATCACCTCCCTGTCCCTGCTGCCACCCCAAAAATTGACTCTTTCATTCTGCATACAGCTGTTCTTCCTGCCCTCCCTCCCATGTATCTGTTCAGAGGTTTTTTGTGAATTGGTGTGAAGCATCAGAAGCATTCTTAGTTTCAGGAACGTGAATACAATTGAAGAGTAAGCTCCTAACAGATATCCTAACAAGTAGAAAGGAAGGTAAGGAAAAGAAATCACAGCTGTCCTTTGGAGTTTCTTTGATGTGATGTGGCTGAAAGAATCACGTATCCAGCCTGTAAAACGTTCTGGGTACATCAGGCTCTTTGTGCACAAAGAACACGATGGGAAGGAGAACTGCAGAGTCTCAGGTCTGAATTGAAGCTTGATTTGAGAATTGCTGGGTGTGGTAGGCGAGGAGAAACGTCACCTCTAATCAGGAGCACTGGAAAGTAAAAAGAAAATGCACCTAAGGGAGGGACATCCCTTGTTAGTAAGGGTGGGACTGAGGGAATGGGGTGGAGCTTTTACATCTGAAGCATTGGAGGAGTGGAGGAGAAACAAATGCTGTGTCGAGGAGAGCATGGACTTAAAGTAAAACAATATGCAGAAGTGCTGAGCATAAAATCCTGCCCGGACTCTGAATCCCCGTGGGATTTAATGGAGTTTAATGTGGTGTAAGATGAGTCCGTCTTGTTTTGGCAGCTCGAAAACTGCAGCAGAAACGTTCCCTTCTGTTGGAGGAAGAAGTGGAAGAGGACGAGATGATGAAACAAGTGCCTGAGATGAGCATGCAGTCCACTGTCATCATTGAAGGAGTCGAGTACAAGATTGAGAGGCTGAATGGAAGGAGCAGCCAGGCTCCAGCAACTCGGTAAGACTATGGAGCAGAATCGCAGTGCCACCCGTGTGTTCAGAGGTGTCTGAGCATCCGTGATTGTCAGGGGAGGGGGGCTGGACATTGTCTTCTCTTGGATTTAAAAACGTGTCGTGCGCAGTTCTGTTTTCAAGTTCTCTTTTCAGAAGAATGCCTCCTTCAGGTCCATGCGCGGGTGCATAAAGCCATTGAGTTTTGGAGATAGCCAGCTGAGGGACAGCCCTGGTGCTGAACGTAGCTTTGCTCTTACAGCTTTGCTCTTATAGCCCTGCAGAGAAGGAGCTGGGGGTCCTGGTGGGTGAAA